TCCACTCCCTACCTCCCCATGTGGGAACAACAATTTGTCCCCCCTCCTCTCCTGCTCCTGCCCCTACCAGACCCTGAGCCCCAGGGAGGCTGCAACCAGGACCCGAACCCCAACATTTCACTCGGATACTCTAGCACACAGCTAAGTTGAGCTTGAAAATGGAAGGCCCATCCTCGGATTCTGCAGTCGATATGGTCTTTACGTGCCTCACTCTGACGCTCTGCTACCACCCCCAGCTGTCTTATTTTCCATACATTTCCAGTTCACTTGCCCCAAAACCCTGCAGCCACCAGAACACGAACTGCGGTCCAATGTTTGTCAGCCCCTCTCCTTACGACTTTTCCCCTGAGTGAGCCGACAGGGAATCAAATGCGTGGACCCTGGAAGGGTTTTCTTGGAAGTTTGATGAATGACTTCACCTTGTAATTCAAATGCCTATCAAGATCACAGAACATTTCCATCCCTCCAGAACGTTCTTTCATGGTCCTTCCCAGGAAATCCCTGTCTCTGCTAACAGGCAGGCATTGGCCCATGTGTTTTCCCACCTAGAAGGGTTCTGCCTGTACCAGGACCCCCTGTCGGTGGGTTCCTGGGGTCTGTAGTGTGTTGTGAGTGGCCATTTCCACCCAGCCCCAGGATTTCCCGAGTCCACTGTGTCCAGACCCTGAGCTCCTGTCCTCCGAGGCAGGCCAGTGTCTGGAGTCCATCAGGCTGACCAGGGCAGGAGCACCTGCTGGTGGAGGAGGACCTGACTGTGAACCAAGCAGTGAGATTGCTCCGAACCCCAGGGGCCCGTCTCACTCCTTCCCTCTGGCTCCTCTCCCCAACCCCCTGCTTGGTCTTGGATTGGGAGCTATATTCTGAATAGCAGAGAACCCCCTGCTGAACTCCTGCTTCCCAAGTCCCCAGGATCCCCCCAAAAAAACACATGGCATCAGGCTGCCCCCAGCTTCCTGCCTTCCCCATTATGGGCTTCACTTGCAGGTTGGCTCGCTCTCCTCCTGTTCTTTTCTGTAGAAGGGCCTCCACCTGGCTCTAGACCAGCTGAGATCTGCCCTGGGGCCAAATGTGCCTCCTGAGCAAGCAGCGCCCCAGACACGGCTGTGGGGCGCAGAGTGGGATGCCCGCTTTGCAAACTCCTTTGGCAGTTTCTTGTAAGAGTAAAACCCTCACCTGCTGTCTGACCTACTGCCAGGAATTTGCCCCAAAGAAATGAAAACTTAAAGCCATAAAAAATCTGTACAAGGTGTGTTGGTGGTGGGGCTGGTTGCCAGAGTGGCCGGGCCAGCTGGCTGGTGATGGATGAGGGGGGCTGACTTCTCGGGGCAGTTGTCGAGGGTGTCCTGACTGCCCCCTGATTCCCCTCTTCCCTGCAGATGCTGACACACAGGGCCCTCTGCCTGAGGAGCGGCAGGCCCCAGTGAGACCCCTGGGCCCCTCCCAGGTTGGGGCCACCTGATGCCACTTGTCCTGCTAACATGGTCATTCTGAGGCAGCCCCACTTGCCCTGGTACCTGGGCACAGACCAGTTCCAGCCATGGGTACAGCTCCCTCCTGTCCCCAACAGGCTGGGAACAAAGCTGTAAAGCCATGGGGCAACGTCCCACTGGGTCGGGAGGCAGAGCTGCCTGGACCACCGGCAACTTTCTGCTTGGCCTGCTGGAGCCAAGTGGGGGCCAGCGGCAGCCCTTCCACAGGAGGGGCCCACGATGATGAAGGCGAAGGGCCTATGGGGTGATCCCAGCCTCCCAAACACCTCTACAGAAATGGGCCGAGCATAGAGGCGCCGGGTCAGCAGCCTGCAGCCTCCAGGAAGGCAGGACTGGCATGCACGTGGTCTCCCTGGACCACCCTGGGCAGCAGGCCTTTGGGATCCTGCCTCCCTCCAGCACAACACTTTCTGCTCCCCCAGCTGCCCTTCCTCACCCACACAAGCCACTGCTGTGCCACTAGCCCAGGCTCAGGAAGGTCAGCAGGCCCAGGGCCCCAGTCTTGTGCCCAAAGAGCACGGCCAGAGGCCTGCTGAGGAAGCCCCTGCCCATCTGCTCAGAGGACAGCCTCCTCTGGGCTGGAGGCGGGGCTTCTCTGTCGGACCTGACCGGACCTGACCTGCAAGACCCAAGAGGTCTGGCTGTGCTGAAACAGGTCCCAGCTGGTCACGTGCACCTACAAGGGCTGCTGTGAGAAGCGGGAACTGATGGATAGGGAGATGCAGCTGGACAAGTATCAGGAAGGCCTCCTGCACCTGGTGGGTGGCGCCCAAAACAAAAACAGGGAGAGGGGCAGGAACCCACCACAGACTGCGTTCAGGGGGAGGGTGCCCTGTGGGGACGGTACCCAGTGGGGCAAGCACAGAAATGTGTCCCGCCTCACCGCAGTGTGTGATCCGAGCCGTGCAGGCTTGCCATCCGGAGGGCTTGGTACCTGCTTCCTCAGTGCCACCCAGGGACACAAGGGCAGGTGTTGGTTCCCCAGCAGGCAGCTGGCTGAGGGGCAGGTGCACGGGAATATCTCCGTGCTCCCACGACCAGGCAACCATAGAGGTACTCAAGTGACTGGAATAATACAGTGCCTGTCCTCTTAAGACTGGCTTATTTCCACATTTCCCAAGTGCTAAGGGTGTGATCTCCATGGGGATCCCTCGGCTCATACCTGAGTTGATTCCAAGGACACAGGTCAGGGTGGGGGCTGATCATGCCAGAGAGGCCGACCAGGGTGGGGTGGACATCCAGCCAGCCGCCCCCAGGGAGGGGAGAGGGGCTGAAGAAGCAGTGCAGGCACCGAGCGAAGATTCGCCTGCCACACCTTCCCCGTGGAACCCCTAGAGGAGCTATACGAGCGCCCCTGCTCGTAGGAGCTTCCCGCTCAGAGGACATAAAGGAGCCTTTGGAAGAGAAAACAGGAGCTGCGTGTGTGTGTGAGCCCCGCCCAGCCCTCGCCCTGTGGTCTCCCCATTGGCCAGCCTGAATCTGGGTCCTGCACAATATAATTGAATGTGGGGGCGGGGGGGGGAGCTTACCGGAGTTCTGAGTCATCCTGACAAATTAGAGAACCAGAGGGGTTGTGAGAGCCGTGCATTAGTATGGGGTGGTCTGACCTCCTGGTCAGATGTGGGGGTGGCTTGGAGACTCCCAAACTTGCACTTAGGGCAGTCTTGTCAGGAGCTGTCCCCTTAATCTGAGGAGCGTCTACACAAACTGGGGCACTACAGGAAAGCGCCCCAGATTATCCGCGTGGGCCTTAAGGTGCAACTGCAGGTGTCCCCGCAAGAGGGCAGCAGAGGGAAACAGGCCCAGATGAGGGTTGTGGTGGAAGGGGCCATGCTTGGGCCAGGAAATGCACAGGGTGCTGCTGAGGAAGGGGGGGGGGGGGGGAACGACATACAGAAAAGGATGCAGGTTCCCCCCCAAAGAGGCCAAGGGAGCCTGGTGCTGGGGACACTGAGTTTTGGCTCATTGAAACTATCCTTGCACTTCTGTACTGCACAGAATGTGTGCTTTTCTTTAATCCTTACTCAAGCATATGTTTATTGATGGTTAGAGACACAGGGGGGCATGGACAGGAGAGAGAAAATTCGGCCAGTTGCCTCCAGTACACGCCCCAAATGGACACAAACCTACAACCCAGGTAGGCCTCCTAACCAGGGGTTGAACCCAGAACTCTGAGGAATACGGCATGACACGCCAACCAACTGAACCCCCCGACCAGGCCCTAAGCCATCCAGTGGTGGTCATGTGTTACAGAGACCCTGATGGACCCATGCACCCTGCAGGCTGACCCTCTGGGAAGCTGTCAGTCTGGCTGACAGCTCACTGGGCATGCTCTCTGTCCAGGGGTCAGATGGCTCCGGGCCCGGGCCCAAGCTTTGCTCTGAGCCTCACGTGGAAAGGGCCGGAGAAGAACCGGAGGGCGGCTGACAACACTGAGCAGCGCCCCCTGGCCAGGCTGCGTCGGCCATGTTCTCCCTTCCTCCTGCTCAGTCAGTGCTCTCAGGGCCAGGTACCCCAGGGCACCCAGCAGCTTTGGTTTTGCACTCAGTTCTCACCCCTCAGTTAGACCTGACTCCCCTGAACATTGCAGGACAGCCCTCAGGGCCCAGGACAGGGGCAGGAAACCTGGGGGGTAGGGTGAGTTCAGATCAAAAGCCCCCAGTGGATGAAGCCAGGCTTTGTGGCCCTGCACCCGCCAATGGGTTCGGCCCTACTTCCTGCCTTTCCACACTCTTCAGGGGCTGGAATCCCATGGGTCCTTGAAAGTTCATCTTCTCTGGGACTTATTTTCCCATCATCCCATCCAGTGGTCACAGAACCTAAGTGCCCAAGACATAAGGCCCCTGCAGCTCCGATCCCAGCAGCCCCTCTCACACCTGCCTCAGGGCCTTGTCTCAGGCTGCCTGATGTTGCCACAAGGCAGTGACAGTCTTTGCCAGAGTGGGGCCACCACTCTGGTATCTCAGCACAGTCTCTCTCCCCGAGGACAGACTTGGCTCCCTCAGAGGCATCCTGTGTTACTCACTCCTGGATTCCTCCATGGACTGACTCACTGGTCACACCATCCCTGTGCCCAGCTGGACCAGAGTGAGACAGGTGGTGCAGGTGGGGGCCAGGACTGGGCCTGCCTCACTCATGTGTCCCCAGTGTCCCCACAGACCTTCTGGCCCACAGCAGGCCACTCTCTGGGGTTCGGGGCATCATAGAGACATGAGGACACTCAGAGAAACTGGGGTCACTTGCAGGCATCATGTCAGGGCCTTTGGGATAAAGCTTAGAGGGTTCCCACAGCCAGGAGCCAAGGCTCATATCTCAAACCTGACCTGATGCTCCCTAAGGCTTCAAGGACAGAACCAAAACCCCTCTCCTTGAGGCCTCCCAGGCCCGGGAAAAGGGCAAGGAAAACAAACAGATCCATCTTTGAGCCACCTGACCTTGGCTGGGGAGGACGAGGGGCCAGATCAAAGGGCCCAAGGCCAGGAGTTTGGAAGAGGTGGAGCTCACACTAGGTCCCAGACCACAGGCACTGGACCCAAGTGAGTGGGGCTGTTTCTCCACAATAGCCGTGGGCAGGAGAGAAGACACACACACACTAGATGGTGCTGGGAAGAGCCAGGAGGGCCAGCAGCTGTAGAGATGGCACAGGTGGCAGGTGGCCTGGCTCAGGGGACTGAGTGGGCTCAGCAGCTGAGCCTCTTCTCGCAGATCCAGCTGTCCTTCTCACTGTCACAGGGGGCGTCATTCCATAACCCAGTATGCAGCATCATGACGCAGTCCTCAAGTCCCAGGGAGTCATTGGGCTCACCTCGGTTCCAGTGGCTGCAGAGGTTTGGCAGGGGTGTGGGTGGGGTTTGGCTGAGGGTGGCCCTGAGGTCCAGCCCCTTTTTTGCGTGGGTGTAACTGAGACACCCTGAGGGCCTAACCTAAGTAAGCACCTGGGATATAACTTTATAAAGCCCAGAATCTGTGCCTCAGCCAGTTCCTGGTGGCTAGCTTGGCCATCCCTAAGGAGTGCTTGAGATCGGTCCAATGCACTGGCCCCTAGGGGCTGACCTGTCCTGGTCCCCATCTCCCTTTCCTCACCTGAAGCTGAGTGAGACTCCATCTACCCACTGATAGCTATGGACCTTGCTTGCGCGACGCATGGCCCTGAGGCCCAGCCAATAACCACGGCCTTTTGTATTTCGACTCAGGAAGCCCTGGATGGAGGAGAGATTAGTCAGCTTGCCAGTGACCTGGGCCCGCAGACATTTTCCAGGACACGCCCCCTGAGGTGAACACCTCCTCCCGCCACTGACCAGACTGCCCTGCCAGCCCACCTGCTCCTCCAGGTTGCCCACAATCACCAGGTGCGCACTGGCACCTGTGCAATTGCGTCGCGCCTCTTCCCATCCAGCTCGCACCACTGAGAAAAAGTAGCAGGAACCCTGAAAGCGCAGCCACGACGTGGGGCACTGCTCACAGGACTCTGTGGGGTGGCAAAGGTTCAGGAAGTAGACTGCTCCCCGGTGCAGCAGACGGAGGGGGTTGAGGGTGGGAGGGGCAGACCCATGGAAAGGGCGGATTCAGTCGGATCTGGGACCCACCAGGCCCGCGGGCAGGTCCACTTATCCCCCTGAGCACGCCCATGCCCCTTCCTGCTCACTGTTCCCAGCTCGCACAGCCTCCAACTCCCGGAACAGCTCGCTGCGGATGTTCTCGCGGTCCCTTCCCGCTTCAGCCAAGCTCTGGGTCACTGCGAGATCAGGGGAGTCCAGATTATGTGTGGGTGGGGTCAAGGTCAGGAGAGGGTTGAGATCAGGGGAGGAGCAGCATCACCCGAACCTCGGGGTCCGGGGACCTGATTGCTGGGGGGGTCCCGATGGGGATGGGCTTAAGAGGTGTATCCACAGGCAGCATCTAGGGCTTAGGGTCAGGATGGGGGCGGGATCGGGGTTAGAGGTCAGGATCACAGGGAGCAGGGTGCAAATCACGGGTCGGGGCGCTGTAAAGGTGAGGGATCCGGACACGGCAGCATCCCGCCCTCACCGCGCTCGCTCAGTTCTTTCAGGGCGCTCTGCTGCCAGATCAGCTTCAGCTGTGCCTCTTCAAGCTCCGCACGTGCGGTCTTCAGCTGCGCCTGCGCGGCCTGGCCTGGGAGGGGGCGGGGCGATGGGGCGGGGCGTGGGAGTACATTCCCTCCAGACCACAGGACCCGCCCCCCAGGCACCCGACCCCACCCAAACCTGCAGACCCCGCCTCTCAGCCCACAAGTCTCACAGCAGCTATTGCAGGCTCGGAACTCTTCCTTCAAGGCACCCAGCATCACCTTCTGCCCCGAGGCTGCAAAGACCCCCGCCCAACCCAGACACTCCATGTCACCTACCGGGACTTGCTGAACACCCGTGACCACTCCCGACCACCTCCGGGGACTTTGGAGTATCCGCCCACCTACCCCCAAACCCGGGAGCCCCTGGTCTGCACACACCATTTGCTCTCAGCTGGTCCTGGTGCCTCTGCAACTCCTCCTGCTGCGTGGAGGCTGTGGAGAGAGGCTCCTGCAGGCGCGGCCTCCGGGACCAGGGAACTGCCCCCTGGCCCGAGAAGTGTGGCAAGTGCAGTCTTGGGACGCACACAGGGGGCGGGCAGGGGGACAGGGCACATGATGTGCCCACGAGCTGAGCAGACACAAGCACACACGGCCGTTCACACACATTCGTGCTGACAGCTCCAAGATGCTCACAAACCTTCCTTCACACTCATTCACCCTCAGTCTCAGGCTGGGGTCTGGGATCTAGCTGAGCACCCTGGGGCAGAGGGCAGACAGAATTAAGCAGGGATTTGGCTGGGGGAGGGGTGGGACACAGTCTCCCCCTCCTACAGAGTCACTCACCCCTTGGACAGTAGGATGCTCAGGATGAAGGCCCACAGGAGTGCCGTGACCACGAGAGCCAGGGCCAGGAAGGGGAACCGCCTTCCCCAGCGTCCGCAGGGCCCTTGGGTAACAATAGACTCCTGGGTCCCTCATACCAGGACAGTCCTGGCCCCCTGAGCCCTGAGGACCATGCCCTGGACACTTGGGTCCCAGAAAACCAGGACTCAGAGAGGTTCAGTGACCTGCCTAATGGCCACAGCCCTTAAGTGATGGAGTTGAAATTTGAATCTACATCCAGTTGCCTCTAGAGCCTGTGGGGTCCCTCCTGCACCCATGACTTGCTCCCTCTCTAGGCTGTTCTCCTCCCTCCCCCATCAAATCCCAAATCAGAGGGACCCTAGGGGCCCGGTGAGGCAGTCCCGCTGCTTGCTCATACCTCCGGGGACCTCCTCCAGCTCGCCACCCCACTGGCTGTACCCGGCAGTGTCCATGGTGAGCAGGCTCCCAGCCCTGGGCACTGATATAAATGTAGCCTCCTCCCTCCCCCCACACTCCCTCTTTGGGGCTTCCTTCCTTATTGTCTTCTCAGTGTCAACTCCTGGTACCAAGGAGCCACTGACCAATCACAAGGCTGGCTAGCCCTTTCTGGGCTGAGCTGGCATTAAGGGTGAGGTGGGGTGGGGGAAGTGGAGGAATGCTGAGTGAAGGGTGTGGGAGACTGCTATGTGGGGGGGTCTGTGCTGCAGAGGGTGGCGGTCCATAGGAAGTGGAGAGCGGGAGTGCTTCTGAGTGTGCGTGTGCAGGTGTGCTTGCTTGCTCACGATTTACCTCCCTGGGCTGGTAGATGCAGCAACATCTGCAGACTGGTGCAGGGGGCTTTGCTTTGCAGCTAAGTCCCCACCTCTCACAGGTCAGAGGCTAGGCTCCTTTCCGAGGGGTGCGGCCTGAACCTGTCCAAGCTCCGCTCCTCCTGGGGGGCCCCTGTGAAAGCGCCCTCAGGCCTGGCCCCCCAGGCTAGCCCAGCTTCCCTCCACCGCTCTCCCCCAGTGCATGCCAGAGGCTGACCCTTAACCCAGGCCTCTGCCAGAAGGGAGAACACAGATGGTCCGCCCGGCTACTGGACTGCAGGCTTGGGCAGTTGGGTCGAGGGTGTATGTATGTAGTTTCTAGCAGCCTCGGTTTTCTCCTCTGTGCCAAGGGGCACAGTGACAGGGCCTGTCTCCAAGGGATGTGTGATGAGGGAATGAGGTCATGCACCTCAAGCCCTGGCACCGTCCCCAGGCACAAAACCCACTGCACACTCATTCATTCTTTCAACAAATACTGAATATCCCCCGGGTGCCAGGCTTCCATCCTGGAACTGGGCATTGTCTGATGGTGGGGCACAGGTATGGTGACACCTTACTGGGGAGTGAACTTCAGGCCAAGGACCTGAGCAGGCAACTCCACAGTGTGGATCAGAACCTACCATGGGGCGTGTGCTGACGGGAGGACCCACCTGGGCAGAACAGCAGGCCCGGCAGTCTCCGCAGGTGGTCCCCAGTACCGACCCGGCACTGTGCTTGTTCACCTTGTCCCAGAAATAGCAGGGACAATGAGATGTGGGGACAAAGAAGGCAGCACACACCAAGGGCCACACATCCTGGCGGCCTTGTGAAGGATGCTTCCTTCAGTGGACACTCCCACCAGTTTGATGTTTATCTGGCCTGTCGGGCCGTTCTGACCCTCAGTGACAGAAACATTTAGGGCCACCATGCAAGGAGCACCTCATCACTGAGCAGAAGGCTTGAAGTGCTTGCTAAGGACACAGAGGTTGGTCCCAGCACAAATCTGGAAGTCAGGTGAGATGGGGACCCAGAGCTACAGTCGGTTCTGTGCACATCTGTGTGTACGAGCCGTCACCCATGGACGCCAAAAGGAGCCAATGCCCTCCTGGCAGCAAGCTCTCTGGGTGGAGGGGGTGGGGTGTGGGGAGAGACAGTAAATAATGAGCTAATGAAAAAGGAAGTTCTCTAGAGGGTGGTTCTCATGTGGGGGTTATCCTGCCCCCCACCCAGGGGCCAGTGGGCCGAGTGTAGGAGACATCTGGGGGCTCTACAAGCTGGGGTGGGGGGGGTGATACTGGCATCTAGTGGGGGCAGACCAAGGCTGCTGCTCAATACCAGACCCAGTACTGAAGGTGAGAACCCAAATATAAGACATCCCACGTCCTAAGGGCTATGGAAGAAAATGTCAGGTGGGACAAAGGGCTGGGGAGTGCTGGGCTGGGGCAGGGGCTGCTGAGTCAGATGGCCAGGGCCCACCTTACTGGGCAGGAGAAGTGTTATTTCGCCAATGGAGCATTGCCGACATTCCAGCCTCTCTGCAGAAGTCCAGACACACCCCTGGAGAGGGTGGAGAATGGTTTCAGGAAGAGTGTGCTCAAGCTGAGGTGTGCACCAAGTCCTCACTGAACTTCACCTCCAGCCAGAGGCATTTTCTACCACTGGGCCGAGGTAGGCGCAGTGTCAGGAATGGAGGCTCTCCTTCCCTCAAAGGGAGGGGCTGTCAGCGCTGCTGGGCTCTTGGCCTGTGTCAGGGGGGCTGCCTCTGAGGAGTTGGAGGCTGCAAACAGAAGCCCCGGGGGTGAAGAGTGAGGGGTGGCTCTGGGCTTCTGTGGACACCTGGGGAGCGCCTGTCACTCTGCTGAGGCTGCCCCGCAGCACACCTCAGCCCCGTGGGCTGGAAGAGAGAGTCCTGAGCTGAGGGGAAGTGACCTCTGAGGACAGTGGGAAGAAATGGGTGCCACTCGGAGTCAGGAGACAGGAAGAGGTTGCTGATGAGCCAGACGGTAACTTCGGGAGGGCCTTGCAGCCTTCGGCTGCCCAGTCTCTGCATCTTCCCCCTGGGCAGGTGCAGGAGCACTTGCTGAGCAACTTGTTTCATTTCCATGACCTTGCAGAAGAGACGTGTGAACATGTGGTGAAATGTCTTTCAAACTGGTGTTTTCCCTACTTTTCTTTGAAACCCTCACCTTTGATTTATAAACTCCCACCCCGGCCTGTGTGGTTCAGTTGATTGGACCAGTGTCCCACAGATGAAAAGTGAGGGTGACATTTCAGGTCAGGACACAGCACAGGTTGCAGCTGGCTGATCCCTGGTCCGGGTTGCCCACTCCGGAAGGCAACCAATGGATGTTTCTCTCTCACATCCATTTTTTCTCTCTCTCTCCCTTCTCTCTCATACTTTACCCCCCTTAGTCTAAAAAATGCTTTATTTTTCATCAGAGAACTGCTGGGTGCTGCTCCTCGCTTCCTCTCACTGGCCCTGAGAAGGCACACAGCCCCCGGGTGCTGGCCGCCTCTCTGCTCGCCCTCCTGTGGGCTGAGGCCCCCTCTGCGCTGGGTCCAGCAGGCAGCTGAGTGGACTCCTCACTAATGCACTGCAGTGCCCCTTTCATGAGGGATACAGGGGCAGCCATCACTTCCAGGTGGGGGCTGGCCTGGCCACTCTCTGGCATGGGCTCAGGCACCTGCTCCCAGCCAGCCCTGCATCCAGGCAGCACCTGCCCCCCTTGCAGTGACCTGGGTAAAGGGAAGCAGAAAGCATCTGGGGTTCATGGCACCGTGGCCTCAAGGGAGATGGGGCTGCAGGATGGCGCACTCGCATCTGCTGCCCCGAGTGGGGAAGAAAGAGTGGCTGTGACAGGCCAGCAGCACTCAGAGAACCACGTGGGGCTGAGCCAGGCCTTCCACAAAATGGGTCCCCCTGCTCCTTGTCCCAAGGTCCCCTGGTCCTGAGACACAGGCCCGTCTGGCCTTCATCAGCAGAGGTGCAGGTGGAGTAGACAGGCCCTGCCCAAACTGACTTAGCAGCAGGTTGGAAGGTGGGTGGGGCAGAGCTTTGTTGGGGCAGTGGCGTGGGGGGCACATGCCCTTCCTGGGGCTCTTGGGCACAGCTGTGCCCAGGAAGGGTGTGGGCGCAGCAGGAGGAAACTGGGACAACCACAGGGAATCTACAGTCTCATCAGAATGTGTTCTTGGGAAAGGTTCTAGAGGGGATGCACGTACCAGCCCTGGTGCAGGAGAAGGAAGGGGTGCATTTGGGATCGCAGTCGGGCATTGCAGGAAAGAAATGGTGGGGACTGGGCTATCAAGGGCACGTGCACTGTTGACAGGAAAAGGAAGGGTCTAGCAGGCAGAGGGTATGGCTGAGGCAGAGGCAAAGAGGCAGGAAGATGAGTCTCTCTCATATCTATTCAACACCTGGGGCCAAAACTCCCAGTTTGGGGTGTGTGTGTGTGTGTGTGTGTGTGTGTGTGTGTAGGGGGCAGGGGGTTTGGGAAATGTCCAGCCTGTGAGGGAACCATAAGCTGCCTGCCACCTCCCTACCCTGCCCAGAATTTGCCTCAGGGGAAATGAAAGGGGAAGGGTGGACCCAGACACAAGCCTGGCCATAGACTTCTGAATGTAGACCTGACCTATAACAGGACAGGGAGACCCATTTTGGGTGGTGGTGGGCAGAAAAGTGGGGGAACATGGACTAGGGATTTTAAAACAATGTGATGAGTCTAGGAAGCACAGAGGACTAGGAGGACCCTTGGAAGCATGTAACTCAGCCTGGGACTATGTGGGAGGGCTTCCTGGAGGAGGTGATGCCTAGACAAGCAGAGTTACACATGAATAGAGTTGTTCTATTGTAGTAAAGTAGTAAAGAACACAAGACATGGGTCATGAAGGAGTTTTCCCAACATGATATTAACACAAGTAAAGGTGGGGAGGGGTGAGGGACCAGACTCTGGGGAAGCTGAGACTGATTCATGAGCAGTAGGCTGGGGCCGGGGTGTCAGCTGGGACCAGATGATGGCAGGATGTGAGGAGTGGGGGCAAGGGGTTTGGACTGATGTGGGAAGAAGGCAAAGTCAAGGCTTTAGCCCCCCGCCCAAGGCCACTCCATGATGTCTATGCTCTCCAAAGACAGGAGTCCCGTTGCTCCCCCAGGAACCCAGGTCAGCACAAAGACAATGATGCTTCTGGGCTGTTGCTTTGAATTCTGGCTTTGCTTTCTCATTATGAAGTACATTATGCCTGCAGCGAGGTGTGCCGAGAAAAAGCTCTGGGGTGGTTGGTGTGTCTGGACGCTTCATACAAATTGCACCACGTGGTCCATATCCTCCCACAGTTTGTTTGTGTTCCCTCCACAAAAGTCGCCAGATATGCCTAGTCAACATCCATTCCTCATTAGAGCAAAGGTGAACACAAGAACACACATGCTTAGTAAACAAAACCCAGGATAAAGCTTCCTTAATTTGATAAGTGGTCAATTCCAGGAACCTGCAGAAATGTCGGACTTACTAGTGAATTTCTGAGAACCAGTTTTGGTAAAATTAAGAACGAAATGAAGGTGCCCATCTTGCTGCTTTGCCAATGCAAAAAGAAAATCAAGAGAAATAAGACCTACACATACTGGAAAGGAAGCGTCAAAGCTGACGGTGTTTGGAAGCTGTGATCGT